TATATATATATATATATATATATATATATATATATATATATATATATGCACACAGAATATTTCAAATAAACAGTTTACTTTAATTGAAACAATAAATAGAAACTGAAGGTATGGCAAATTTTTCCTTAACATTTTTACATCAGCAGAAATTGTTTAGTATTGATAGAAAAACAAGATGCTGGCCAAAAATTTGAGGAATTTAAACAGAAGCGATTGTAATGATTTTCACCACTTCCCTTTGTCAAATTGCTATGTACATGTCCAAGGAGATCATCTCAAGAGAGATTACATGTTAGAATAAGTAATTCTTCATGGTCAAATCCTTGAAACTTTTTGATTACACTTTGTAGACAAACAGATAATCATGACTAACAGATTAAGCTTATCTACTGAACTTGCAGTATCATTGGGTCACTCTAATTCTACCATCCCAAAATGATGAAATTATATAAAGAGCTAATTAAAATGCTTAAAATAGATTTTTAACAAAATATAGATATTTCAGACACAGTAAAAACATTTTTGAGGGTTCAGTTTTTTTCTTTCTTTAGCTTTAACTAGCAGTAGAGCCCGGCGTTGCCCGGGGATGTAACAGTAAGAGATAGATCAAGTAACAACCATCATAAAGACTGAAAAATAAAATTGACAAAGATTATTGTTTAAGGTTGACGGACACGCATGTCTTAGTTTTTTTTGTTTTTTACGAATTGGTCAAACCCAAACAAAAACATTGTTTTCAATCGTTATGAGTCTCCTGATTGAATAGAATTTTATTATAAACAATTGTCTTGTAAATGGAATTTTTAAAGCATTCTGAATGTAAAAATAAAGAAAAAAGTGTGCAAGACAATAAGAAACACTAACTGCCAAAAAAAAAAAAGTGAAGTTTTGTTGAAATTGGTTGAAAAATGTAGGAAATCCGATCCCATACATAAACGAACATACATACAAACAACCTGGGTTTTATAATAAGTATAACTCGATATGAGTTGTCCCCCTTTCATTCTCGTGATGCCTCTTAATCGTGTTTTCAAATTGATTTCATACAAAAACAATTGTGTTTTTCCAAATTTTGGCACTGTCAGAACAACCGCAAGGTAATTTTACCTAGTCCTGTGAAGTTTTGTTGAAATCGGTTGAAAAATGTAGGAAATCCGATCCAATATATAAACGTACAGACACACACACACAACCTGGGTTTTATAATAAGTATGATTAAAAGTAAAATAAAGAATATTTTATTTTTAAATGCATAAATTTTAGTTATCAGAATCAAAGCATGTATGTTTACATATCCAACTTTAATACATTATCATAAATAATGATGATTGAGAAGCCCTTAATTCACAATTAAAGAGGAAATTAAACATTCATCTTTTCAGACATTGCCTTATAATTCATCTTTCTACAATATAGCTTTTAAAATTTTTGATAGACAAAAGGCTGCTTTTATAATAGTAATTTGCTTAATAAAATTTATTATTTAGTGTTTTCTGAACAACACTTAATTTAACAGTTTTTGACCACTGCTGCAGCCTTACAGTGCCATAGCATTGGTATAATGAGATTGAATTTACTTTGGTCCTTGGATAAACAGATTTAAAACAATTACAAATTCAACACCAACTATCTTAGAAAAAAAAACTCCAAAGCCATAATTAAAAAAAATTATATATAGGCAAATATGAAACAATGTACCACTTAGCTTTGTGCCATATATACCTCATTTTATAGAAGAAAGTTAATGCTTAAAAAAAAAAATAAGAAGCTTATGGCCACATCACATTGAAACACTGGATCACATATGGTCACCAAAGTTAAGCAACATTGAGCCTGGTCAGTACCTAGATGGGTGACTGCTTGGGAACACCAAGTGCAGTAAGCTAGGATGTGTGCGTGCTTTTAATTGATAATGGCTCAGAATTGTTAATCAGAAAGCAGAGTTCAGATTCCAGTTGGATTCGTTATATTCATTTACAGGTAAATACCTCTTCTCCCCCAGCTATGGATTAATTAGTAAGACTTGTATCGCTAAACCATTATGATCTCAAAAAAAATGATAAAAAAAATAAATTCTTACAATCTTAAAATATTTTCTGGCTTTAAAATAACCTGCAAATGGTCAATAAGCCATAAAAAAAAAAAAAAAAAAAAAAAGAAGGAAAACTTCAAGAAGAAATATCTTAATATTTAAAAAAAAAAAAAAAAAAAAAAAAAAAGTGATGGATGATGTTATTTAGCATTGGGATTGACCAAAGAGAGTCATGGATAGCATAATCAAAGAATGGTACAGGACCATCTATATATGCATCATGCTAACGAATTTTGATTATGGATGCTTATATAAAGTGCCAATTAGTATTCCTAAGGAGGAAAAGGGTGTTTGCAGGTGTATTCCAAAGACATTTACTGTCTCCTGCCTTTTGAGCACTGTGGACTAATATGAAATAAGGAACTCTTGATAGACCTCTCTTTCACTTTTCATTTTATATGTAAATGAAAAAGATTTTCATATACAAAAACTATCAAGTCATGTTATATTTTTCTATTTTTATCCACCAGATGGAAAATAACCAGCTGTTTCAGCAAAAAATATTAAAAATATTACACAGAACTTTTGCATGAATTCAACTGTCAAAATACTGGTTATTCCAATATAGGCATACTGGAAAAGAACTCTTATAAAGTGAGAACATCAACAGACCTAAACAAGCATTTGTAGAATGTACACACACTAATCCTAATATATTATGTCATTATAATCTAGTACATTTGTTATTTTAGATGAAATATTCATGATTTGATGAAATTTGCCAACGTCACTACCTCGAACTTTGAACTAGAAATGTTATGTGAAATTAAAGATAACATACAAATGCCTTGATGATAAAGAGGATATAACAAAGCTAGTATTCTCCAGAGGCCAAAGAAATTGCAGAATCATATCACTAGGTGATGAAAGGAGTTGATTTTACATATATTACAGAAGAAACTATGACAAAGTGGAAAAAGCTTTTGTGTTGACACATTTCATCCTTTAGGACTTTATCAGATTAAAAAATGAGGTTTACATTGATGTGAGTACACATGCACATTAAGGAAAGAGTATGCTGATAATTTAACACTTTTTTAAAAATTCTCAATGTTCCTTTTTATTCATGTGCAGTCATAATGTAATTATCACTTTAGTCTGACAGGACAAAATGTGTCACATGAAAACTTTTTCACTTTGTCAGTTTTTTTTCCTTAAAATTGTTCTTGATATAAAAATTTATATATCGTTATATATATATATATATATATATATATATATATATATATGAGATGGGCAGTTTAACTGAAAAACCGACTTTTTACGGTTTCATCTTCACACCATGAAACCACATCAAAATTTATTATGAAACCAAAATTGTTCAGGTTTTTTTTAAGTGCTACCACTACTGAGTAACCACATCCAAAGAAAGACTATTGAAAGAGACTTTCAGATGTTAATAAAATTAAATTTTATCAAGATTTATACCATTGTAAGAGAAAAAAAATTGAACAAAAATGTTTAAAACATTTAATTGATTAGATTTAGGAAATAAATGTGAAATCTATTCATTTTCAAAAGAAATGAAGAAAAAAAGAAAGGAAATACCATATTTCAAATACAACCTGATGTCTGAAATTTATCCATCACACCTTATTCATGCATATATATATATATATATATATATATATAATATATATATATATGTGAGAGAGAGAGAGAGGAGACATGGTGGAGTCGTGGGTAGCAGGTCGGATTGAGGAATCAGAGAGCCAAGTTCGAATTCCAGTCGAATTCATTGCATTCACTTATGTGCAATACCCTTGAGAAAGGTATTAATCCTCTTCTCCCTCCAGCTATGGGTAAATAGCAGGACAGACTGGGTTCTATAGCCTTGGATGGCAACTGATCTAGGAGAAAGATAACTCTAAATTCAAAACCTGTGGAGGGTTGTTTGGGGACGTTGTGCACCAGGTCACTGTATTTGGCCCTTCAAAAAGTGTGGTTGGTTCTGTACAAAGCCATCACCACTATAATCATATCATATGTGCTGGTGTTTGGGTTATCAGTTCCTAGGAACTGATCTGCTTGACCCTCATATGTTGAATACAATGACATAGTCCAACATATACAAGATTCAGATATAAATAAAATATATCTGTGAAAAAGCAATACGAGTAAAGACAAATAGAAAATTCATATTGTCCTCTGATGAACTTTATCAAAGCAAATGGCAGGATCTTATTTTGCAACAAGTATTTATAAACAGAAGTAAAAAATATTGTTAGGTTTTCAAAATTTGTACATTTAAGAACACTCTAACATATTCTTATGGCTAACCGTGAAAGTAAAGGCAAAGTATGGAAAATGTTAAGCGATATAATTTAATGCCTAATAAACAAAAGTGAGTAAATGTTGAAGTTTTTCTTATTTTTCTTATATATTTACTTATTTTTTATATTAATGTAATTACATATTGCAAAATAAAATGCTTAAATTTACCTAGATAAAGTCCAACAGAGGATGAAACTTGGTAAAGAAAAGTTTTCCATTTGTCTTTTTATATATGGATGATATAACTGTTACTCATAAAAATAAGTGTGAGTGTGTGTATACACAAGCCTTCTCAGATGGCAGAAGGTGAAAACAAGAAAAAGAAAGTGTAAAGGAGACACAGACATAAAAAATATGAGCAATCATTTAAGTGTATATTAAAAGGCAAAGTTTAAGAATAAGAAATTTTGCGTTTAAATTTTATCAGTCCCATTTTTTTAAAAACGGAATTTATTCAATATTTCAAAAAGTTAAATGACATTATGAAGATATATGGTTGGAAACAGGATGGGTGTTTCCAATAAAGATCATCCATTAGCTTGTGCTTCTGCTCTTCTTACTTTTCCTGTGTCTTCTCATTTTCTCCCTTATACTTTCTAATATTTCTTGCCCATCCTTGTATTTTATTCAGTGTTTAAATGGGTCAGTTTCATATGCAAAATAAATAAAATTTAAAGAAAATGAAATGCACAAATATTATCTACTCCATCTTATGTTTCTTTTGCTCTATTTCTTCATAAAAAATTTTAATGTATCAAAATGACTTTCTATTCATAACTGCTTTTCCAGCTTTTATTCAGGGTTTCAATATCCAACCAACAAGCTTCTGTCTTTCATCTTTATTCCTTCCCTGTTTATTTTTCATTTTCCCCAGAGCTTTCTACCTTCATACCTTCTTTTTCTCCCCTTCCACCTCTCCATCACTTTTTCCATTTTTTTTCTAACTGGAAAAGGCTGGATATCTTGGTAAGAAATCATAGCAGTTGTTGGTTTTGTTTAATAGCATATCAACACCAAGTGAGTCAGGTAATGCCAAAGCAAGTAGGGTTGGGATTTTATATTTGTGGATTATTATTATTTTGTAGAGAAATTAAGTTAAACATTTTTTTTTAACATTATAACCATGTCAAGTTTTTAGTTTTTATATTTATAAACTGTACTTATGTTAAAAAGTTCAGTTCATTTTGCAGATTTTGGTATATAGGTGTGTTTCTTTCAAGAATTCAAAAATGTTATCTGGATTGACCCTGGTAAATAGCTTTTTCAGCTTACTAGTTTGGTAATGTTTGATTTGGGTTAGTTTCAGATTCTTACATGTTGTTGGTATATGGCTTACCGTGTACTTTACATGGCATGTTATGCCCATTGGGGCTTGCTCTACCTTTAGTAGGGTATGAGTGCATGATAGATATGTGCCCTATACAGAGCCTGATTTGTATCACCTCCTCTTTTCTGGACAGTGTGTAGCTCTGCCCATAGCAGTTGTAGATACAAACAAGCAGAATAATCCTATAGGTGATGCATAGATACTACATCTACATTGGCATTAAAATGCACAGCATAAGACTCTTGAGACTATGGTAACTACATGCTTATGCACTTAAGTATAACAGGTCGATCAATTTATAGATTAACCTTTTAAAGAGGAGTATAAATCATTGTATCTCAATTTTATATGCAGATATCAGAATGGAAGGAGTGTCAATTTATGCACCATTAAAAGAAAAATATAGGTTACTCGGATGCCAGTAGATTCTTAACAGTTTTTCTCTTTGGAAAGATTCCTTCGTTTCACACAAGCTCATCTGGTAAGTGGCTTGCTACCTCTCTTATCTCTTTTTCCCTTAATATGCCCAGTGAGGGTTAAGTTTTCCAAGCCCTCCTTCCTCATCATGTGTCCAAAGAAGTTCAGCTGTTTTTTCCTCATTTTGAGTACAAATATTCTTTCTGTTGCCATTTTCTTTAAGACTTCCTTGTTACTTACTTGCTCTGTCCATGGGATTTTCAATATTCTTCTGTAGAACCACATTTCTGTTGCCTTTAGTTTTTTCCTTACCCATGGAGAAATTGTCTAACATTCACTAGCATACAACGTACACTATAAGTTTACTAAAAAAGTCATGCACATAAACTTCAGGACTGATAATTGGAAGATTAATATAGAAGAGAAGGAAATTTAAAAAAAAAAAAAAAAAAAAAAAAAAAATTAGACCAGCTTATTTTCAATGTAGCTAAAAAATTTTTTTAAAAATTCAACATAGAATGCCAAATTGGGTTACAGTTAACTAACTGGGGTGAATTTCACTACTTATAAGTCATAAGTAGCAAAATTTAGAACATTATTACCAAACTTTAAAAATTAGCCCAGCTGGCTACTTGTAGGACAATTTGGCATCCTTAAGTAATGTGATCCATTCTCTCTATATATGATCTTCTGCACCAGACTTATGTCTTATGTTCCTTGAAGTTGACCTTCTCATGGCAGAGTTCACAAATGATATTGACTCTTCCTAAAA